CCATTTGAGGTTATTTGAAAAATTCAAATTCCAAATGTTACAAATTCAAACGTAGTTTGCCTTGACAAAATAATTTCGAATGAAAAAGTTCTCAACTACAAAGTTCTATAACTTTTCGAGATCTACAACTTTTATTTTGATCATTTTTCCATCCAAGGTCGTTTGAAAATTTCAAATTTTAGTACTTAATTTATTTTCATCCGAGATTTATAGCCCCAGGCTTAACCGAGGCGGGCACTATAAGGCAACCGCCTCGGTTAATCGTTAACCGAGGCGGTTGAATTGCACCAAACGCCTCGGTTAATCGATTAACCGAAACGGGCCACCTAAGGCAACCGCCTCGGTTAATAGGCGATTGCTTTGAACCAACCGACTCGGTTAATATAGGGCAACCGCCTCAGTTAATAGGCATTAACCGAGGCGGTTCGGTTACGTTGCCCGCCTCGGTTAAGCATTAATTGAGGTGGTTGCTGGTCGGCTGCCCTGCCACGATTAACCAAGGCGGGCAACCGGCCCAACCGCCTCACAGCCCATTTTGGAAATGCCTTGTAAAAGTTTTTTTGTAGTAGTGAATAGTAATATGGCGGGGAGCATTTGAATTCTTCAAAAAAATTTGTACCGGCAGTTTATGTTACTAACCTGCCTCTGAAAATTAGTTAATATAAGCGATTTTGTTACATAAACCGCCTATGTAAAAATGTTTACATAGGCGGTTAGCTTAAGCGACATAGGCTTGCCGCCAATGTACATCCATTTACACAAATGGTTGTCTTAAGACTACCGTCAATGTAAATGGATTTACACAGGTGGTTCTCAAACTGATGCTAGTGGACCGTCTCCATTTTCACTGACCTTTCACATAGGCGCTTCCAGGAAATGCCAGTGAAAATCGAAAAAGTGCCGCTAATAGAAACCTTTTCTATACTAGTGGCTATAACATAGCAAAAAATACAACATGTCAACATAACAAAACAACGACGGCTACAATATTGAACACTCATCTGAAAAAATCGATTTTTGTTCAGCCATTGAAATATAGGATCAGGATGTGTGTAAAAGTAAAATTGGAGTACACCAGCTTGGCCCCCACTAGAGAGTTGGCCCTCATTTTGCTGGTCCAGGAAATTTATCTGCCAGCGTAGAACTTGGTCTCGTGTGGCTCGTCTCACGTACCTCTTGGCTCTTGCTCGGTTGCACCCCCATTTAATTTCCCCTGTTACTACTACTTTCCAACTGGATCGCTGACAGATGACCTGGCATACATCGGAACCAAGAAATGAGAAAAGACATACAAACAAATATATATGCATTGGAATCAAGAAAAGAGAAAAAAAAACATATACAAACAAACAATTTGGCACCGTTGGTCAGCAAAATAAAGCTTGTCTAAGAAGTTATATACTGATGAAGATCAGGCCCGGCCCCCAGACCCAGAATGCCGATGGGCCCCTCCCCAGGTATGCATACAGTACTGCCCAAATACGCCAGATGTATCGACGGCGACACCGGTGATCACGCAAGGCGACTTCTCCGCTTCCTTTCTTTTGATACCGGTGCTGGACTTCCTTTCCTTCTGCGCCGCTGCGCGAGCCGCGAGGCAGCGAGTCGCCGGCCGGCTGGCCGGGCACATCCGCGACCCTGCGCACCACACGCGGCACTCCTATCCGTGACGTGATCTGCACTGGGCGTCTGGGCGAGCTGGCTTCCAATTCCATCACCATCTGGCTTCAGGCAGGCGGCAGCAATCAGGTAGGCTCTGTCCTATTCGGCTATTCCTATAATCCTATGATCCCTAATTGTCTACGTACTGATTAATAATTGCAGTTACCCTATTTTATGAAACTGCAGTTCATAATTGTTTCTCTAAATTTTAACATAACCATGTCATCAAGAAAGTATGCTTCCGGCAATGATTAAAAAATGTTAGAAGAAAATTTTAAGGTAATTTAATATGTATATAAATTATTTCATATAAATATTGTTTTTGCATACAATTAACTGCTTATTAGTAACATTTCGTATATGTGTGTATAACTAGCTAGCTGTGCGTAGTACTAGTAGTAGTATTATCATATTTATATAAAAAGGCTTAAAATTTTAGTTTCGTTCTAGGTTAAAAAAAATACTCAGGACCGGCCCTGCCGAAGACATGTACAGACTCATGTACAGACTCGAGTAATGTGTAGCTGGTAGGTGACATGGACGGATAGGGATAACCACCTCAAAAACCGATCATGAAGTGATGACTGATGAAGGCATATCGACCAACTGACCAGGGCAGGCAGGCATGCACCGGATTTATTGAGCCAGCAACCCCGATGGACAAAAGTCTCCAACGGCGTGCCTAGTACAATCCGGAACAGTGGATTGGAGAGCTGCTGCCATTACTCATAATATAATGGAATAAATAGAAGGAAAATCTGGTGGTTGAAGGAGGCTCCACGTTCATGGAACTATCCAACTAAATATCAAAATGTGTGCTTGAATATATAGGAGTACTTTGTTAACTAGGACTGCAGAGCAAGACTAATAATACAGCCGGCTTGCTGGGTTCTTTATAGCGTTTCCTTAGTCCACTCCTATAATAGTTAGCTCTTCACTATTAATACATGGTCCACTTGTCTCTCTCATAAAGTTTTTTTTTTGTTCTTGTGCCTAAGCCAGCTGTAAACTTACAGCCCGCTTCTCCTCTCTCCTCCACCTCAGCATTTAGCCAGCTTACAGCCTGTTATTATACTTGCTCTCAGCCGTGCCTTCCGCGGCCTCTAATCTTATATAAGACATAAGTACCAGAGTTCATATTATAACTATAACTAATAAAAATATGAATATTAATTAGCCTGCTGTTTTGGTTCTGTTCATTTTCTAACTCAACATGTGTATAGATACTATGTGATATCTCTTCAATTGTGATAAACCTATCAATTATTGATCCATATGTTTTGTCTTCCATATACATAGTTCTTCCCCTCAACATGACACCTCAGTGTATCTTCAATATCTATTTAGTTAAAACTTTCATTTTAGTTATAGTGGAACTACTTGTTGCATCCTATGTCTAGATTTTAATTTTCAAATTTTAAATTTAATTATTACTAGAGTTTTTTATCATCAAGTTAAGTTCAAACCCAATTCATAATAGCAGAGGTTAGTAATTATTTAGAAAACAATACTGATCCAACACTTATTATTATAAATGGTGATTAAGAGTGTACTTGCTAGATTTTCAGTTTTTGAGGTTACATATGTTATAAAAAACTATGCCTACATGAGGACCAATATGTTATACAAAACCTGTCTACACGAGGACTAAGTGTGATAGGCGTATGATAGGATGAAGATAGATGACAGGACACAAAACCTATTCTAAGAAACCTACTTGCTAGATTTTCTTCGACTATTGATTTCACACAGTCCTTTCATGTACCTCCACCAGCGTCATTTATTAATTTCTCTATCGGCCAGCCCCAGTCTAGCTATCTGCCTTCGTCCACCAGCGGCGGTCGAGATCTATATCTATGCGAGCCCCCGGGTTCACAGTTCACACACATGATGGCTGCTAGGTAGCGCGCTAGGTTCCACCATAACGAACTATACAGACAACCCCTGTCCTCCTCATCAGACTCTCATCATTCACCACAAAGCTGCTTCGGCTTCACCAAGGGCAGCCCCGGCGATCCAATAATCCTTTTATTTCCATGTACCAGAGGGAGAGGAGAGGAGACTACAATCTGGTGGTGGTATACAACTGAGATCTACGGAGAGTAGCAAGGTGCGTGTACATACAACTTCGCTGGATCTGCTCCGATCCGTCCGTCTATCTATATTTCTTTGCTCAATCAATGATGATGCTGAGCTCTATCCATCTCGCTGTATATATTCTCAAAGCCACAACTCGTCCTCTATACGCATGTATGCCTGCGTAGTGTATAGTGCCTACGTACACAAGTCAGCATTTTTTCCATTATTAATTTGCCTTCCTCTTTATTCGCACGCCCTCCTTTCTGATCAGCTGATTCTTTCTCAGAAAGCAAATGAGCTAAACTGCAGATTCGATCTGCACTCCGGCCGGCATCGGTGTGCGTGTGTCCACTATTTAATCTCTCCTTTTTTTTCTCGAATATGCAAAATGTTTGTGTATCTCTGCATTAGGAGAAAGTTTGTTGTGATACAACGATGCGCCCCGTGAAAGGCGCACTAGGGGGGTTTAAGGATTATAGTGAAGGCTCGTCCCACCCTAGCAAAACAAGAAATGACTACACTATTACTCGCTAATTAAACGATCTAAATTGGTAGCCCCAGTTTCGATCTATTGACCCACAGTGTGCCGAATGGTTGCGAGTAGATGCTGGACCGAGGTTGAAGATCCACGGAAAGCACCATTCATTGCGCTCCTTCCAAAGTTCCTAGTGAAAACAATAGCAGCGGATCACCGTGCACACGACACGTGAAATGCTGGATCGATGAAGACAAACACTACATGTGCGTGCATGTGACCCCAGCAGGCCAGCTTCATTACTTTGTGGTAGTTCCGGCGCTCGGCCTGTGTAGATTACTGATTTTTTTTTCTTTTGTCAATAGATTAGTGAAGACTTAATTAAGCGGGCATGCATGTGATTACAAATCTTTTAACGGCGTTGTTATATTACATCGATGAACGAGAAATATACAAAGGACCTGTCTCAGTCAGCTTGGTACTCCTCTACTCCATTCTCCCAGCTCTACTCCTATACATGGAGAATCGCTTCCTGCTGGACTTGGATCATCCGTTCACGCATTCTCTTTTCCACACTTTCATTCCGCAAAGAGCCCTGCAATAAGAAGTTGAGGTGAGCACTTTCCTTCACCGAAGTTTTGTCCACCTCCATTCCATGCACGACCGAGTACGTAGCATTATATAGTTAATTTTATACCATGTTATGTGCTCTTTAGGGATAATTGATGCAAATCTGTGCTTATATATGTATGATCTACTACTAGCAGGTAGATAGGCTTGAGCCATGGCGGGCGCCCTGGATGCTTTAGCACCCTACGTGAAGAAGCTTATCGTGGACATGGCACAAGAAGAGGTGCCCGTGCTGCTTGGCATCTCCAGCGAGATCACCAAGCTGGAGGACAGCATGGAAGGCCTCAAAGCCTTCCTCAAAGTTGCCGAGAGGAGGCGCATCACCGACACAAGCGTGCAAAGATGGTCGACAAAGCTCAAGAACGCCAGTATGATGCCACTGACATCCTCGACCTGTGCCAGCTTGAGGCTGACAAGCGGAGGGAGTCTAGAGGCGGTGGCAATGTGGAGCATAAGTCGCCCGTCTGCTTCTAGCCATTGCTCTTCTTCCTGCGGAATCCCGTGTTCCCACACAAGATAGGCAGCCGCATCAAGGAGCTCAACCAGAGGCTGGAAAGCATCCACAAGGAGGCGGACAAGTACAAGTTCAATATAGACATATGTGTCCTCTGCGTTGCGAGGGAGGCAGAGCAAATGGGCAGGATGAGCCTTCACTGTCGCCTGCACTGCACCAATATATGAAGACCCTCTGCTTTGTGAGGGAGACAGACGAGCCTTCACTGTGTCTGCAAAGCTGTGACTGTGGAATATAATGGTTCACTTATACTTCTTTGGAAGCATGGGACAGCATGCAGTTCAGTCAACAGAGTAAGGACGAAGTATAACAGAGCAAAAACAAAGCAGAGCAGAGCAGAGCACAGCCACCCTGTCGTCGGTTGGTTTTTGGGCCTTGCACCAGAACACCTCTGTCGCTTGGGCTCTCAACCTGTACGAGGAGCTTATACCAACCTGATATATATGTGCAGAACTTCCCATCAGTTGTCGAGCTTGACGTGTCCCTCTGCCCCAAGCCCAAGAGGGCCACTGGCCTCAGCAGATCGCACAAGATTAGTATCCTCCGCTGTCTAAATCTGCAGGTGCTTCAAGGTGTCCCCACGCTCGACATATACAATCGATTGTCCCATGCTCAAAAAGGATCAAGGTTACAGAAAATCAAGATCATCGGTTGCCCAAATGAGCAGATGCTAAAAGGAGTTCCATCACTAGACAGCATGAGATGATACTATTGATGCCACCATGGAGACACTTTCGGAATACCGAACATCAGTAAGCCCGAGGTATCTCGGGTTGATAATTGTTCTTGTTAAGAGGCAGCTCATCTGAGAACGACAAGATCAGCCATATCAAGTGAGTCGACTGCATTCCTGGAGACGAAAACTTTGATGTCGCTTGGTTTTTGTAGCGCCTAATCAAAAATAAAGCAAGTGTATATTTAGCCAGGGCCAGGTAGTTAATAATTTTCTCTCGCCACATTGCTCGGCTTAGTATGGATTTTTGATGCAACCAACTTTATTTATGCTGGGATCCTATTCCTTTCTGCCTTCGGAGCGAGTGGGGGCAGGAATCATCATCTCTAGCTGGCAGATTTAATTTTAGTTTTCTGCACTGTTACACAGAGGACAGTTGCAAAGACACGATCGACCACCTAGTGCCAAATCATGAGAAGCCAAAGAAGCCGGTGCGTGGTCGAGGTGCTCGGAAGGAAAGGGTGCCGGCCTCTGCACATTTTGGCTGGATGACGCCAAATTTCGTGTCCAGATCAGGAGGGAGCAAAACATTTTATTTTTCAGGCTTTTACCTCTGTGCCATTATAAAAGATGGTCATAACCTACATGCATTAAAAAGTTCGAACACATCCTGGTGCCACTAGCCTTAACTCTTTTGTCCCACATGCCATTCCGTCCACCTTCTATCTGATTTTTGCCATTTCCCAGCCCTGACATGTGGGCCCACCAAATGAAAATGTCTAAAATACCCTTCTCTCGTAACCCTATCCTCTATTTCTTTCTCTCTCTGTCCGGTGGGACCAAGCTGTAAGTGATCAGGGCACCTTCCTCCTCAACCTGTCAGCGACCTGGCTCAACATGCCCCCCCCGTGTGTCCCCTGCCGCTGAGGATCTACACTATCACGCAGGCAAGCGACCACACGTCAGTGAGCGTGTCGTGGTCGGTGTTCTTCACCAGCACCTTCGGCGCCATGTACACAAGGGTTCCGGCGAAGGTCTGCGGCAGGTCCTTCTCGTTCACAGACTTGGCCACCGCGTAGTTGCAGATCTTGACGGTGCCGCCGTCTCCCACGAGGGTGTTATCGGGCTTGATGTCTCAGTGGATGACGCCGTTGCACATCTTGACAACGACACCGCGTTCGCCCTAGCCGAGCCTGTGCCCCTCCTGATTGTACCCGTGGGCGTTGGCCATGCGCCGCTTCTGCCTGCGGGCCATGGGCTTCGTCGCCGGGGACGAGGCACGGAAGACGAAGGCCGAGTGCTCCCCAGTGGCTGCGTCAGCCGCTGGCGTGCCCTCGCACTCGCCTTGTTGCGCTGCCCCTCTCCCTTTCCCCACTCCTCACCGCAGAGCGCTCAGGTCGCCATGGCCGCGCGAGCAGAGCTAGCAACGCCGCCATGTTCCACTGCCTACAACCATCCTCGGCCCAAACCAAAACCACTGCCGGCTCTGCCTTCTTCTCCTCCGCGCCAAGAGCTTGCTCGACGAAGCCATCCTCCATCGTTCGCTGCTGCGTGAACATGCCTGCCATGGCCGTGATCGAGCAGAGCTCTTGCCGCCGCACGAGGAATCTTGTGGCGAGCCCGCTCTGCGCCATCTCCGCCTTGCCGTCCGCACCGACCACCTAGCCTGCCTCAACGCGCATGCGCCGCTCCCTTCCCCGGGTCATGGTCACCGCCATGGGCCACTGCCGCCAGGAGCCACCGTAGCCGCCAGCTGCTGCGCGTGGGCAGTGCGCCCCGCGCCATCTCCCACTTGGCCGTGAGCTTCCACGGGTGCGCATGGGTGCCCTGGTGCTCGCGCACCGTAGCGTCGGTAGCAGGCTAATAGGAGCCTTGAGGCCGCGGCCGCTGCTACGTCCGCCCGGCGCGGCGGCATGAAGCAGAGGAGCGTCAAGGACATCATGTTCGACGGCGCAGACGAGGAGATCAGGGTCCTGCGCAGCAAACTCCGGATGGCGATGCAGGGCGAGGAGAGGAGCCGCAAGGTGCTGGTGACCTCTCCGTTGCGCTTGCCGACGAGAGAAAAAGTAAAATGAGGAAAAAAAGAAAAGGACTAAAAGAAAAGGAGAAAATAAATTCCTAAGGACATTTTAGACTTTTTCCGCTGCGGTTTGACACCGATAGTGGCAAATATGGACGGAACGGCGTGTGGGACAAAAGAGTTAAGGCCAGTGGAACCAGAGTGTGTTCGAACTTTTTAGTGGCCTATAGGTCAGGGCACACAAGTAAAAGACTCTTTATTTTTCACAACCACGCAAGGACGCAGCGGGGTGCTAGATATAATATTACTATACGATATTATATGGTGAATTATCAGAGTGTTGATATAACGAGCTGGAGAGGTGAGACTGCAGCACTAGCTATATCCTTGCTTGCACACATATATATTTGGTTTCAGAAGTGCTAGCGTCCGGACGTCCGGACAGACGCTCGTGTTTGGACATCCGCACGCTACACTGCATCTCGCGCTCCACACGGGGCCCGTCCCACCCGAGCAACAAGAGGGGAAGGGCGCGCGACGCCTATGATTCGGTAGGACCTGGCCACGGCGTCATATGGATGCCTTGCCACCGCCGCCGGCCAAGGTGGCAGCCATGCCCGCGCATCGGGGTAGGCGCGGGGCGCGAGCGCAGAAGGGAGGAGGAAGCGAGGGACTGGGTGCGGGAGCAAGCAGAGTGAAGCGTCCGTCTGTTCTGGACGTCTTAATTGGAGCATTACCAATTTGCTTTCTCTGAGTTGTACAACTAATGGAGGTGTGAGGACATGCACATGTACAGTACGTACTAGTGTTGTGTGCATGATTTCGACTTATTGACAGGTTTTACTATAGAACATGTATGTTCCCATCCCTCCCTTGTTAATTAATGTAGTCTATTGATTGAGAACAAGTATATTATACCCACCCATAAGGCAAAAAACTATACACCCACAAGGCAAGCACATCACCCCCTTAAATTTGCTCCAGCTCCGCCCCTACATCCACGGTTGTGAAAATCCTCAACACCAAGATTAGTGTCACCGGCTATGGCCTAGATCTCAAAGGTACGTTCCTCGATGGGAACAAAAAAAATTGGGTGGGGACGGTCCCCATGTAGCAACCTTGGGCACCCGTCGTGGATTTGTGGCACGCGTCCATGCACATGCATCCAATGTATAAGAGAGATGTAGTTTTTTTTCCGTTATTCCTCCTAAATTTAAGCAATAGTTTCATTTGTTAGATGGACACGTGTACCAAACTCATTGCGGGTGCCCATAGTTACTCCATTTTTCCTCCGAGAAGATAGATATCAAAAGTTCTGCCTCCAATGCAAAAGGTCAAATATAAAAACGTTCTTGTCAAGGCCATAAGCAACAGCAGCAGCCGTCGGCTCACGGATGATGGATCCGCATAACATTTGGACCAGCGATTACCCAGCACCCTAGGTGGCCTGTCTCTGGGAGTCATTGAAGTAGGCCAGGCGGGAACAGCGACAACAGCGTTCTTGAATGAAGGTGTGTTGATGAATGAAACGTTGTGTAACAAACCCCACGCCGCAAGCAAACAGACATGCACGGTCAAAGCATGTTTGTCCTCTGCTTTTCCGATCCCTGCCTACAGCTCCTTATCATCTCTGCAGATGCTCTGCTTTGCATCAGTATATCATATACACAGATACTCTGCTTTGCAAGGAAGGAAAACATAACGGGTCAGAGCAGATCACAACCCAAATGGCCAGCCGGCACCAGCCTCCTTGCGACGCCATGTATGCATGCATGGGTGCGATTGAGAAAGCATAGATGTAGATGCAGTTACCACAGATTACCAGAAATTATCAGTCACCAAGTAAGGCATAATTTGCGATGTGCGCAACTATGACCTGCATCCGGCATGCATATGCTGTCTGTGTACAAAAACCCATGCGGTGAGATTCCAGAATTCATTCGAGAAGGAAGGAAGGAAGATCCAAAACCCAGTATCAAGTTCCAGAAGCAAGGAATTCCTCTTGTAAATTTTAGAGAGTCTATAGGAGCCTGGGTTTTTGTTTTTCTTTTCTTCTAAATTTTATGATAAAGAGGTTTGTAGAGATCCTCTTGGAGATTCTTTAAGTTTATTTCGCTAGCTACCTATACATGCATGCTTGTTGTATTCAGATTAATGAAGCATCATGCCTGTATAATGTATCTGTAGCGAATCTACTTGTTAACAGCAATTTCTATATGGATCCTTCCTAAAAAGGAAAAAGAAGGAGCGAAATAGGTAACTAGAGCGAGCCTAGCTCTATTCCTGTGTTAGTTTTTAAACTCCCCGCTGATCGCCGTTTGATGTAAGGATAATAAACGTCTTGATCTTTAAACTCCCTGCTGCACGCCTTTTGGTGTAAGTAAGCATACTAAACGTCTTGATCCTTAAGCTACAACATTTTCGTATCCCTTTGCTAATCCTTATTGTCTTTAAAACAACCCATAGATCTAGTTTGAAAATAGAATGATCGCAATCCAAATTATGAGGATCCAGTATAAGGTGATTTAGTGCGAGTGGCACAAAAGAATAAATGATCCTATGGTTGTTTCGACGAAACAAGTGTGATTCTGATGTACATGTATATGTATAGGACGGACGTTTGCTCCAGCCATGGCCGCCATCTTGGATGCTATGGGACCCTACGTGATGGAGCTGATAGCCAACATGGCAACAGAAGAGGTGAAAATGTTGCTGGGTATATCCGGCGATATTGAGAAGCTAGAGAACAACATGGAAAGTATCAAATGCTTCCTTGCTGATACTGAGAGGAAGCGCATCACTGAATTGAGTGTGCAAAGATGGGTGCAGAAGCTCAAGAACGCCATGTATGATGTCATTGACATCCTAGACCTATGTCAAATCGAAGCTGACAAGCAGAGCAAATCGAAAGGTAGCAGCTTGGTTGAAAAGGCTCCGTGTTGCTGCCAGCCATTGCTCTCCTGCCTACGAAATCCTGTGTTCGCACACGAGATAGGCAGCCGCATCAAGGAGCTCAACCAGAGGCTGGACAACATATACAAAGAGGCGGACAAGTTCAACTTCGTCATCAATCTAGGCTCCCACCCGGACCAGAGGATGTCCACTAGCGAGAAGATGACATCTGAGTTTGTTGAGTCAGCCATTGTTGGTGAGAAGATTGCGATAGAGGCTCACAAGTTCAACTTCGTCATCAATCTAAGTTTGTTGAGTCAGCCATTGTTGTTGAGCTTGGTTGAAAATGGCCATGATTAGTAGCAAGGAGAACCTTGATTACTTGGAACTACATTGTAGTAGCACCGGATTCATGGGATTGAGGGTTGAAACCAATAAGCAGCAGCAGCGAGCCTTGGAGGAGGTAATTGAGAAGCTCAGCCCTCCATCCAGCATACGACATCTATACATTAGAGGATACTTTGGTAGCCGGCTACCAAATTGGATGATGGTTCCAGCTACATGTGGCTTTAAGAGCCTGAGGATTTTAAGGATGGACAAACTTCATTATTGCACCCAACTCCCTGACGGTGTGTGCCAGCTCCCTTGTTTGGAGACTCTGGCCATTATTGACGCACCTGCCATCAAGAGTGTTGGGCCTGAGTTCCAGTTACCATCCTCCCTGGCAATGAGTGGAGGTATAGACGCCACTCCTAGATCAGTAGTAACATTTCCTAATCTGTCATTTCTTCGCCTAGATGGCTTGAGTGAATGGGAGGAGTGGGACTGGCTTCAGAAATAGTAATATGATAAACACTGTTACTAACGTGTAGATCTTGTCGCTATGAATCTAGCGCAACTTGAATGGATCAAAACGGATCTAAAACGCAGAAGATATGAAATAAACAAGATTTCCTTTAATAAAATAATAGATTAAATCTAATCACGAATTTTAAAAGTTGAAAACACATCTAACAGTAGTATGAACATGTAGATTATGAAATTACGAACCTAACGCAAGTTGAACGGGTTAATTTAGAGTTAAAACGGAGAAGTTATGGCTAAAACAAAATCAGTGGGAAATCTGTAAATAAGTGAAAACGTATTTTTGAAGTCAACCGATAAAACTACGCTTTTAAAAGAGCAAGGCGTAATCTACGGATTACGCAATGGACTGCGGGTTCCATTTTGAATAAACCGAGGGTCTCTTTAATAAAAGTGCCAACGAAAAGGTATCTTCTAATCTGGGCCACAGATCTCAGATCGGACGGTTGTCATTGGATCGGGCGAGGGAGAGAGAACTGTCGCCGGCGTTGACAGGGACGGCGGCGGCGCCATGGCCGGTAAAGGGAGCTCGGCGGCGAAACACGAAACACGGCCTACGGTGCTTGAATGTCGACGGAAAAGCATGGGAGGAGAGAGGAGGTTTAGGCGAGCTCACCTAGGGGGATTTCGGCGGCAGAGGAAGCACGGAGGCGGCGCTGCGCTTGGGGAGGTGGGCGGCTCGTCGGCGCGAGCACGCTAGGGCATAGGCGGCGGTTGCGGCTTGCTCCAGGGCTCGGATTGGGAGGCACGGGCACGGGGCGTCAGGTTTTTATGAGGCAGAGGCGGCTTGGGCGGCACGACAACGGAGCACGCGTAGCCGGTGCGGAGTCGGACTCATGGCGACAGCGGCGGTGGAGTCCACCGTGGGGACGAGAGGTAGCAGACAGCCCTGACAGGGTGGCCCCACCTATCGGCGCAAGAGAGAGGGAGGCCGGAGCGGATCAGTGCGCTTGCTGGGCCGGCCTGCCCGAGTTGGGCCGCTGCGCGAAGGGAGGCGCGGGGCGCGAGCGGGCCGACGCGGAGGAAAGGCCACAGGCGCGGGAGCGAAGCTGGGCCATGCGCGGGAGGAAGAAAAGCGGGCCGTCTTGCCAGCGGGGAAACGAGGCCAAGCAGCTTGGGCCGCCTGCGGGAAAGAGAAGCCAGCGGGCCAGATTGACTGAGAAAAGATTTTCCATTTTCCAAATCGTTTTTTACCTATTTTCCAGTTACTGTTCCAGCCAGCTCTCCTCACTCCTTTCCCCTCTGATCTAATACAAGCCGACCAGTGAAGATCCAACGGCCCGAGTTAGCCCATACCCCTTCATCTTGTAGTTTTGCAAAAGAGCCCTTATAAGTATTTATGTCTTAACCCGCGGTCCAAAGCGCAATCACGGATTATGTTTTCTTCTTTGGAAAGCGTAGTTTCTTTGGTTTAGATCCAAAAAAACGTTTTCACTTATTTACATATTTGTCACTGATTTTGTTTTAGCCATAACTTCTCCGTTTTAACTCCGATTTGACCCGTTCAACTTGCGTTAGGTTCGTAATGTCGTGATCTACATGCTCATACCACTGTTAAGTATGTTTTCAACTTTTAAAAATCGTGAGTAGATTTAATCTATTATTTTTGTAATGGAAATCTTGTGTATTTCATATCTTCTACATTTTAGCTCCGAATTGACCCGTTCAAGTTGCGCTAGAATCATTACAACGAGATCTACGTGTTAGAGACAATGTTTATCATGTCACTAATACTTGAATTTCATGGGTTAAACTTTAATTTGAATAATAATTATGCAACTGGATTTTATAAATAAAATATGATTTGTTTTACTTTAGTTTTATAATTAGAATCTAAATTTGACTTAATTCAATTTATATAAGCTTCTATATAGTTAAAATAAATGAAGCCTATAGTTTTCTTTTCCGCGTATAAAGTAAATCTATCGGTAGATGTATCTTTTTCACCGAAGTTCCGATTAGCATGATTTTCACGTCTGTGTGTTCGTAGTGAGACGTAGATTCGTTTTACAAACTTTTCATCTTGATTTTATGTTTGGTGTACTGTTCTAATTTAGATCTATTGTTTGCTTCATGTATGATTGCATGGATGCTTGTGTGGTGCTTTAAGATCTTGTCCAGTCGGTGAGTTATACGTGGTGAATCAAGAAGCAGATCTTTGTAGTTTTAGACTTGAAGAAGAATCTAAGTTTAAGGCAAGTATAGATAGGATCTTCCTTGCTGTCCTATACACCTTTAATCATTTAATTCATACTGCATGTATCTACCTTGACTACCACTAAGGATTTCCTAGTGCTTTGTTACCTTGTGCCTTGTTACCTATGGGGTATTGCATTGGGTAGTATGATGCTAGTGCTCAATTAAAGACCACGATCTTGTAACTTGACTAATAGAATATGCAGTAAACATTAAAAGATGCTTTTTAGCAACATGGAATCATGGGGCTAGAGCATTGGGCTGTTTTTTTGGTGCTCTAGATTTCTCTCCTAAGGACTTATCTGTAAGTGATCATTCGGGACTTATAGTACAGCTGTGAGGGCTATATGGCTCTGGCTTTAGCTCAGTATGAGGACTTTTTTTAGCTTGTTAGAGGTTACATTTATGGCGCAAGAGGGGTGTGTTCTGGGTTGGATATAGTGCGGCCTCTGTCCATCAGTGTATAGGCTGCGCGTCATTGTGCCTATCGAAAGGGGAGCTCTACATTCACCTAGCGGCCCTAACTTGTTAGACGAACCTTTGAAAGGCTTCATAGTGAACCCTGCCGACCTTCCTTGGAAGTGGGTCAAGAGATTAGCTACCTCGGGCGAAAGGGTAAATCACAACTCATAGTGAAAGTGTACAACCTCTGCAGTGTGTAAAACTGGTATATCAGCCGTGCTCATGGTCATGAGAGGCCTTGGAACATTTACGGAATAGATGATGAACACAGATGATACCGATTATGAAAATGCTCACTAATGACTACTGCTTATGCTATTCATTATTCATGCTTACCTGATTATGTGTTCATGGGCTTGTGATGAATTTGTTGCTACTCAATGGCTAAAATCATGACTCATTAAAAGCTAATCGCAGTTAAACCAGTGTCAGCCTTTTGAGCCTCATGAACCCCATGTTATATTTATTGTGTACGACATGTTGTTAAACCAGTGTCAGCCTTTTGAGCCTCATGAAACCCCATGTTATATTTGTTGTGTACGACATGTACTTACGCTTGCTTTACTTTTCAATACTTTCGAAAAATTCCGGATGGGTACCAGATTGAGAGATTGGAGGAATTAGGCTTGTGATCAACCAATCAGTTGTCCCTATGGAATTGGAGTCTTCGCCCGAAGATCGGAGTTGTCTTTCCGCTGTTTGCAGTCTAAGGTTATATCCTTTTATACTAAGTATGTTAAATATTAAGCATTGTCTATTGATATTACCTTTATTCGTAGCTATATGTAAGATTTGACTTCCTGGGCTCATATATGGTATGTATCTGGTTTTGTCCTTAAAACCAAGTGCTACAAATATACTTCGACTCATGTGAACAGAGCAAAGAGGATGTAGATCAGATCAGAAACAAAGTAGAGCAGATGTCGTGCCAAGGCACCCTGTAGCTTGGGCTCTCTGTGGCTTTGGACTTAGGTTGACACAGGAAAAAAGTTGTCTCATGCGCAACGTATACCTCTTGGCATCATTGGTAGTGATAAGCAAGCCCAATCAGTTTTGCCACGCACTCCGTCTGTAAACTAGTACAACTACTAATCCATCATCAACTCGGCCAGTTGTGGGTGATACATATGCAAAAGCCCGTATCAGCGAGAGCCGCTATTAATTTCTTCCTATGGCAAGGGCATCATCGGTCGGCTGGACGCGAGCCTGGCAGGTTGGTGTGTTATGGTGGGGTGCTCTCTTTTCTTTTTTATTTTTGGAAATGCACGTAGTTCAGTGACTAGCCGTGGTCTCTTCTTCTTGGCCCATGACTAGCTTTAGAGCAAAAGACAGCGCAAATCATGTGGTCTCTACCCATGTACCCCAGCTTGCTGTCTTTGTCTATGTTAATTATTGGGTGAGTGTTGGCTCGCACAATCAAGAAGATGTATTGGTAACAATATTCTAACACGTCTATTTCGTAGAGCAAAGCATCTTGATTAATTAGGTGCATATTTGGTGTAGACTTGCGAGGTCAAGATCACGGCGAGTAATTTTTTTTTATTGTATAAAAATAAAAATTAGGTGCGCGTTAGGTGTAGACTTACGAGACCATGACCGGTGAGTAATTTTTTTATTCTTATTTTAAACAAAGGCAGCACTCTAGATGCTCGGAATGTGAAAAAGGACAGCCCCCATTTCGGGTTACATTACATGGTCAATTCTGAAAGAAAAAGAAAGCAGACAACGATATAGGAAAAATAAAAGGAGTGGGCTTGGGCAGCCAAAAATTTTAGTCTGCTCGTGCTCTAGATAGGGCTGACACTACCCATTTCGTGGGATTCAAAAAAAAAACTACA